GGCCGGCTTACAAAGGAATGGGATGATATGGGATGCCTGCGGGATGGGATGGCACAAAAAGACCCTGGGACTGTTTATCCGAGTCGTTGAGTGCTCACGTTTCACGCATTCCGCAAACAGCTGATTTGAATTGTTAGGAGGAGGCTATTTGGGGGCTCGGTTCATTGACCAAAAGTCACCATTCTTAACCGGGGACTCCCCCAGACTTGTGCGCCACGCCATGCCTCCTTTCATGTGGGTAATGTATGCTGTCAGCTGTTCCCCATTCGCAGACACACACAAGTACATAATGGGGAGAGCATGCTGCTTCATCCGTGCCTTGCAAATTTTCAATGTCACCAATTGCGATGCCAACTTCGCTGCCGATGTCGCTGCTTATAAATCTTCGACGTGGAGCCGCAAAAAAAGGAAAAAACACCATCAACAAAAAACACGCACTGCCGGCAGTGGGCGGGATGCGGGGTGCGCGCATTGAAAATTGCTCTAATTCGCCAAAAACAGCTGATTTGGTCGGCGCCGTGGCTTCCTGCCTGCCGCCGCTGCTGCCAAATCGACGTGGGGGTACTCGGACTCGAACTCGAACTCGGAATCTGAATCTGAATCGGAATCATCGGGGCTGTCAGTCGTGCGGCGAACTTCGTGGTGCGGCAACATGAAATGGTCGATGTCGATGCGAAATATGCGCACATCAAAAAAGTCTGCCTGAACCACTTCCTTCCCAGCCCAGTCTGCCACCCTCCACCAAGATTGGCAATGCTAAGGCCAACCTTGCGACATGATTTGGGGCACAGTTGCCTGTAACGATGATCTCTCCAAAAATACATTTTTCGCTAAGAGACCGATTCAGGTACTTTAAAGACTAGGATGGGCTCAATTAAATTAAAGGTTAAATAACTAAAATATTTACAAATGCATAATTAAGAAAACATTCCTATTGTCAGGCATCAGAAATGCAGTTATAGTCAGTTGTAGAAGCTGGACTGTGGTGGGAAGCCGGTGCGTCGTCGGGCTCGGAAGATTTCCTTTCCCACAATGAGCGGTGGTGCCGCTAGAAGCAAATAGCCCGCTCTGTTATTGTTGTGGGTGTTTGCCTTCAGAGTTTTCTCCATGAGATGGGGGAGGGAAAACATAACCCAGCCAGCATGGGAAACACCAAGCGACAAGCCACCATATCGGCGTCGTCATCGCGAGCTTCCCAACCACATCCACGTCCAGGGCCGCATCCAGAGCCACATCTGAACTCAAAAGAGAGCCAGGCACCAAGTGTGGAGGAGTGGGAGATCGGGTGCGTCTTCGGCATAGTCGTCTCCAATTCAATTCATTTTTATTATGATGAGCAGCCCGCTGTCTTCTTTTCCTCTTATTCGTTGAACTCCCCAGCTCGGTTGTAATTTTTTTATTATGCTTCTTCTTCATTTATGTTTCCAAAGTTTCTTCTTCCTCTTTGGCTCGTACGCTTAAATTGCTTTGGCGGAGATCGAGGCTTAAACTCGAAAGCCGAAACTCGGCTCCGTTGCCTTCTACCTTGTTGTTTTTTCCCGACGTTTTTTTCCCTCCGCTCCTCTGTTTTGTGTGCGCCCCAGCCGAAGAATTCAAAGTGGGGCCCCAGACCAGAGACTCGAGATTCGAGACCCGCGACTTGCGACTCGCGACCGGAGACCAGGCCTGGGTAGAGTCAGGCCCGATCCACAACAGCCCAGAGTTATAGCCAGGTACTGGAGGTAGCGGCGACCGACTTAAATGCTTGCAAGCCGACTCTTGACTCAAAAAAGGTACAGTGGATGGCATTGGCATTAAATGGGATTAAAATTTGGGATTGGCAAAAAAAGAAGGTTGATTTTTAGCACAGTGCGACTACTAGAATGCATATGCATATGTTAAATACTAATACTAGGGAGATCTAGAGACTCTAGAGATCTATATAAGAATCCAATTCATTTCAAACCGAGTTGTGACTTATACTAGTCTAAATAAGATATTTTCATACTTAAAGATATTCTTTGGTATTTAAGCTTGTTTTTAGCCACTTTGACCCACTGTACCATAAAAGTTGTTGCCGTTGTCCCAGGCTCTGGCGCTGGCTTTCAGCTCTGGGCCCTGGCTTGGGGCGAACATTTCGAGTTGCTGTTGCTGGTGCCAGTGCTATGGCTATTGCTGCGGCTGTTGTTGCCGCTGACGATGACTGGCTCCGGCTCTCAGGTTGGGTTGCTTTCTGTTCGTTTGCTCGGCATCTCGTTCGCTGGCTGGCTGGCTGGTTGGCTCATAACCTGAAACTTGAATATTGTGGAATTTGAAGGTAGCGACGATGTTGCTGTTGTTGTTACTGCAGCCAGCAACAACAACACTAACAGCAACTGCAGCAGTGCTGCGTGCGAGCTTTAGACTCGGCCCGTCAATTTGGAGCCAGTCGGAGTCGGACGAAGCCGCTCCCCAGCCCTCCCCTCCAGTGGCCCCTTCGGTCAGCACTCTGCTTATTTCCAGCCGCTGCCAGTGCCAGCTGAAACGAGTTGCTGGCGAAGCGTAAAATGCTGCTGTGCTGTTGCCGTTGTGGATGTGGATGTTGCTGGTGGGTAAAAAGCAACGAACGCTTGACGGGACTGGCTTTTGTGTGGTGCTGTGCTGTGCTGTGCTGCGATGCCTGGTCGCTGGTGTGGCAATAAAATTCAACTTCCAGCTAAAGCAACAGTCGCAGCCCGAAATCATCATCATCAGCCAGTCCCAAGATGATGGCCAGCATTGTAATGCTTTTGCTGTTTGTGTTGCGGCTTATAATGACGGCAGCAGCAACTTCCACAACAACAATAATACTAAACATTTCTCCATTCGAACGAAAATTAGCGTAGAAAGTTTTCTTTTTTGTTGACTGTTGGCAGGCCTGGTGGTTTTCCCGTTGCGGGAAGCTCGGCCGATTCGATCCGATACGTTTCGACGGGGGTTTTGAGAGCTTTCCGGCGATTGCTTGGCGATTTTCGGTGTGCAGCTTTCAAGCGCACACTCGGCGTATGCGCAACGAGCTTCGGCCGCATTACACATACGACCAGTTGTCGCCAGAACGAACAACGGCGGCGGACAATGAGCAATGAACCAGCAATGAGTGCGCCTCGCCTCGCCCCACAACTTCTGATGGCGATAAGCCGGGGTGACTCAGTTTTCGTCGCAAGAATTGGGAACTGGGAACGGCAATGGGGCAGCACAGCAATTCTAAGAAGGAAAACTTTCGTTTCGGGGGATTCTCGATGCGGCAAGACGATGTCGTTCCCAAAAGGAGCAGCGTCTAGACTCGCTCCAGCCCCTATGACCAAAAATAACCAAAAATCCAGCTGCAGACGCGAACGGGAACGAAAATGAAAACGAGGGATGAAATGCGATGATGAGACATGAGGCAGACCAAAGGCAGTCGCACTGGCAGACAGGCAGCTCACAACAAGGGAAACGGGAAAAGGCAGCAGGGACTGGGCTGGAGGGGGTAGAAAAATGCGAAACACATGCGACTCAGCGCCGACCGACGACCTCGATGACGATAACAACACAGCGGACTGAACGAACCAAAAACTCACCCCAAACCAAACCGAACCGAACCAGAGGCGGCAAAGGCTCTGCAACCGGAGACCGTCTCATGCTCGCACTCGTATTATTTCCCCCACAAACAACTGCAGCAGCAGCAGCAGCAGCGGCAACATGCAGCAGCAACATTCAGTGGAGGCAGCAAATATGCGAGCATATGGCAACCCTTATGGATTTGACAAAAGCCGCCGTTCGCACAGATGTTCAAAACTCGAAAACCCAAAAGGGAGTCGTGACGCACCGAGAACTGAGGCACATAGCCCATGAAGTTGCTTTGAGTGTGCCGGCTTACCAGAGGGTGGCAACACTGAAAAGGGGGAAACTCAGCTCGGCGATCGATAGTTATAAGGGTATCTGAAAAACAAAAGGGGGTTTATTGGTGCTTACATCTTAATTTAGAAAAGGATTCAAGAAAGGAAGGGCTTTAATCTTCAAACGATCTCAGATTTTAAATATTAGTTAGAAAGCTTATTTTATGTCCGATAGTTTTATTGCAAATATGTATGCAAATCACTCGTATTTCGTTGCGAAGCGATTCTTTTTTATGATCATGCGAGAAGACAGCCGGGAAGGGAATTCTTCGCTGCCATTGTTCCATTCCAGTGTTGTTCCAGAACCAGAACAGCAGAACTCGAAAACCCAAAAATAGTTTTCTGAATCGAAAAAAGTCCAAGAAACGGAAAAAGTCTCACAGTAACTGTGGCGGAAGTTGATGGGAAAGAGCCAAGCGAACATGCTGAAGCAGCGGTCGAAGAAGAAGACCAATCATAAGAGGAAGATGAAGCAGAGGCGAAGAGGAAGAGCGAGGCAATCATGGCAACCCACACGGTTCTCTGGCCGACGCTCCGTGCGTTTTATTTTAAGAAGATTTCGAGCAGCGTCGATGAGCAATGCCAGCAGCCGAGGAGGGGGCAGCAGAGGGAGTGGGTGGGCGAATGGGGTGGGGGTGAGGATGAGAATGGAAATGGGGAGGGGGTGGTAGACTGGCAGACGGGCGGACAGGCAGACAGCCTCGACTTGGCTTGACTGTTGTTGCTTTTCTGCCGCCTGGCATTTTCCATTTCATTTTCCTGCTGCTCGAGTGGGTGAAAAAAGGAACAGCGAAGGGCGGGCAGACGGTTGGAGAGGTGGGTGGATGTTCTGGGTGGCGGAAAGTGGGAGTTCGAGTCCCTGCCCGACTTCCATTTTCCTGATAACTTTTTAGATGGCTGTGTCCTTTGTTGGGTCGTGCGAACTCTGTGGAAAATTTATGATACTTTCTTTATGTGGTACACTCGAAAAATGTGAGAGCACCTCTACAGATATTTTCTTTTAGAAATATATGTTAAAATATATGCAGTCATAAATTAAAAAACATATCTTTAACATTAATTTACAGTGTATAGTGTACTTTTTCGACATCAAATCACTAAAATGTATCCTTCCTTCAATTGCAGGTGAATTCCGCCATGGGTCTTCAAGCAACAGCCGCCACGAAGCGGAAGCATGAGCTGACCTTTGACAGCAAGGATGCCAACACCACCTACACGGGCACCTGCGCCCCGCCCCCCGTCAAGGCCAACAAGTGGGCCATCAGCAACAACAACTACCTGGAGTCGCTCGAGCAGCAGCAACAGCAGTCGGAACCTGCCACAGCAGCAGCCATCGAGTCCAACAATAACCACATCGTAGTGGACGTAGCCATGGATGCGGCAACAACGAAGTCTCCAACGGAGTCCAGTATTAGCAATGGTACGGAAGTTACTAGCCAGCTCAAGAGCCAAGCGGAGGTGCCCCTGCCTCCCACGGCGAGTGCAGCGATTCCGGAGGACAGCATCGCCAAGTTGGAGGTTGTGGCTGCCTCTGCCCTTCCTTGCGAGCCGTGGGCCGGATCGGGAGCTGGATCCACGCCGTCGGTGGCGTCGTCATCTGAACCTGTGGACTGCATCTCCAAGCTGCAAGCAGTGGCAGTGCCCAGTGATCCATGGGGCAGCATTGCCACCCGATCCACGCTCGCAACAACGCTTCTGAGCGCCGACGAACTTGATGACGATGACGATGACTTTGAGGACGACTATGAGGAGGAGGAGAGCATCATACCCACTTACTGTCCCATGAGATACCACCCCTTTGTGCCGCACCCCCACTCGCACCCTCACCAGCTGCCGCCGCATCCCCTCCAGCAGCAACAGCAGCAGCAGCTCACGCAGCAGCAGTTATCCCAGCAGCAACATCCTCAGCAGCAACGGGGCTATGCACCCGGCTACCCTGGTAGTCGCCAGCCCAACTACTACTCGGAGCCCTTCCCGCAGCAAAACTGCTCGCGTACGGGAGGACCGCAACACATGACGCAGCAGGCACCACCGACGCCCCAACAGGCGCGAGGATTTGCGCCACCTCAGTGGGCTACGGCTGGGGCGGGACCCAACCCGGCGAACCCCTCGGCTGCCAGCCAGCAATTCTACGAAGCCACCAATGGGAGCAACTACGTTCAGACTGCGGCGCCGCAGCAAACCATCCGCTGTGCGGAAAATGGCAAGTCCTATTTGGATCTCGGCTGTAGCAGTGGCAATGCCGGATCACCAGCCACCGCCGGCGGACCTCCAAGCAGTCCGCCGCCCTCCTCGGTCCCCTCGGTCGCCCCCTTCGCCGGCCTGCCCCTGCACGGCTTGCCGCTGAAGCGCTGCTGCGATGGTAGACCCGGTAGCTGGTGCAATGCCAACCGGAGCTGCTATAAGGACACGCGGCTGAAGATACGCAACCTGTCCATGTTCAAGCTCTCCCGCTTCCGGCAAGTGTCCGAGCAGTCACTCTACCGTTCGGTGCTGATATGCAACACTCTGAAGCGGATCGATAGGGAGATCGAGGCGGAGGCCAAGGAGCTGCACCAGGCAGCACAGCAGCACCACCAGCAGGCGGCGGCAGCTGCCGCGGCCGCTGCAGCAGCGGCAGCTCAAGCAGCGCAATACCACCCGGCCTACCAGCAGCAGCAACAGCAATCTGCGCCAGTGCCCCTGCATCCGCATCCTCAGCAGCAGCAGCAAATGGACTATGCTCCTGTGCTCAACTGTGCCAGGTTGGCCAACATGGACCACTACCAGCAGCTCAGTTTCCAGTCCCAGCCTCAGCAGCAGCAGCAGCAACAGCAACAACAGCAGCAGCAGCATGGTTACCACGAACGTCTGGAGCCCGCCTACAGGGGAGTGGCTGCGGGGCCAGGAGCGGGAGCGGGTGGAGCTGGATTCCCCACGCAGACCGGCAACTGTGATAACTCCGCAGGGTCGAGTAGCTCGAACAGCAATCCCTCCTCGGCGGCAGGAACTGCGGCATCGACTAGCAGTAGTTTGCACCCCTACGATCACTATCCCTTTCGGGAGTCGCAATCAGGACGAGCCACGCCCTTTCCCACCTGTCCCACCACCACGGCAGCAGCAGCAGCAGCTACGGCGGCGGCAGCAGCAGCTGCTGTCACAGCAGCTTCAGTCAGCCTGAGCAACACCAGCAGCCACTCCACTCCCAGCAGCAGCAGCAGCAACTCCATCACCACTAGTAGTGGAAGCAGTGCCTCCAACAGTGGCAGCACCTCCATGCCCTCCAGTTCCAGCAGCAATAACTGTGACACCAGCGACTCCGGCTACGCGGACGACGACTCCACGCGATCTATCAACTGGAGCTCGGTGCTGAGCTTGAGCTCGCAGTCGGCGCTGGATCCGTTGAACAACAATGATCTGTTCAGCATACTGCCGGCGGCGGCCAGCCCCACAGCAGTCCCGGTCTCGGTGGTTTCCACCAGCAGCGGAGCCAGTTCGGCCTCCGCCTCCACCTTGGCTTTCAGCGGCAGCTTCACTACGGTGCAGGCGAGCAGCAACAGCAGCAGTGGCAGCAGTGGGTCCAGCAGCTCCACCACGGCCACCTTCACCACCCTGTCGACCATCTCGTCCGCCACCCACTCCCTGACCTCGTCTTACGTGAGCAGCATCAGCTCGAATGTTTCGGCGGGCGCTAATACCTGGGAGTACGGCTTCCTGGACATGGAGTTCGGACTGGGATCGGAGTTCACGGAGCTGGTGCCCAGCTGCAAGCTCAGCTCCGAGGAGCTGTTCAAGAGTGGCCTAGGCGGCCCGGTGGTGACTGCCTCGCGGTTGCACGACAACGAGCTGGAGCAGCCGGCCCACATAATGGTCGGCAGTTAGTATCAGTTGTAGGTCTCGTCCGGGTCGCCTCCGGGCGTCCACTAGCAATTCCACGCAGTATTGAGATAAACGCAGATAGGGGGTTGGGAGGGGTAAAATGCTCAGGTTGTGAACGTGCATGAAATTATCCTTAATCCGTTGTCCTTATACCTCTCCCACCCCCAGACCTTGCCCCTATGCCATTGTCCCCGATGAAAGCAATCCGATGGTGACACAAAATAAATGCAATTTAATGTGAAAATCGTAAGAAGTTTTAAGAAAAAACACATACAATGATAATGACAAATGAGCAAGCAAAACTATTAGCAAATTTTGTAAGTGTAAATATTGTTAGTTTTAAGGCAGAGCAGCGAAAACGAAAACTCCTAGAACTAAGATTGAAACGGAAGCAAAAACAGAAAATCTATACTAGTTTTTAGCTTTGTTAGTTGCAATTGTTGCAGTTTTTCGATTCCACACCACATAAAAACCTAACAACAACGTCAAAACGAACAAGAACAAATTTAATTAAACATCCAGATCAATTAACAAAAATTATGTTTTGGCAAAAGCAGAAGAGTTCACACACGACGAAGCAAAACATGGCAGCAAACAAAAATGATGAAAAATCGAAAAACGTTTACTATATTACTAGCCATAAGTATTATTATTTATACACAAAACCGCAAAACCAACAAAAGAACAACTTAAAACCAAGTTTTATAAAAGAAAAAACAAAGAAAAAAAATCACAAAAAGAACAAAAAAAATTCAAAATGAACGCAAATATAAATAATTTGTTTAAAAAAACTTACCCTATCTTTTAATTATATGGTGGACTTTCTTGTCTTGGGAAAGGGCGAGAAACGCTCTCATTGGACCTAGGACTTTCCAGGATTGGCTATTGAGTTCATTTTAGCTCCTTAAACTAGGAATCTAAGACCAGGCGACGCCAAAGTTCTGGTCTCGAAAAGTCAACGATTTTCCTTTGGTGCCTTCGCATTGGCTTTAATCAGCCATGATAAGCTAGCAAGAAATTTTGCAAAATCGACCCTAACAGTGGTTATCCTTTTAGCGAGAGAAAATGTTTTTCTCAAATATTGCTGTCTATTTTTGAGAACAAATTTAAAAAACTATGGTATACAACCTGAGGTATAAAAGCATAAAACGATTTCCGATCGTTCAGTTATATGGCAGCTATAAGATCACCGGTCGTTATAAAATTTGGTAGGTCGGATTAACTGACCAAAAATATAATCTGTACCAAGTTCCAGCTTTCTATAGTCAAAAACACAAAAATTGGGTCAATTCCGATCGGTCAGTTATATGGCAGCTATAGGATATAGTCGGCCGATCCTTATGAAATTTGGTAGGTCTGATTATCTGACCAAAAGTAGTATTTGTACGAAGTTTAAGATTTCTATCTTCAAAAACACGAAAGTTGGGTTATTTCCGATCGTTCAGTTATATGGCAGCTATGGGATATAGTCGGCCGATCCGAGCCGTTCCGACTTATATACTGCGTGCAAAGGAAAGAAGGATGTGTGCAAAGTTTCAAGTCGATAGCTTTTAAACTGAGAGACTAGTTCGCGTAGAAACAGACAGACAGACGGACAGACAGACGGACAGACGGACAGACGGACATGCTCATATCAACTCAGGAGGTGATCCTGATCATGAATATATATACTTTGTTGGGTCGGAGATGTCTCCTTCACTGCGTTGCACACTTTTGGACAAAATTATAATACCCTCTGCAAGGGTATAAAAACGAATATGTGCTTATTCTCACCACTTTTCCGCATTCGTGGTACGAGAGTGACAAAAATGACATAAATAATGCAAATTTATGAGATTTATGAGAAAAAAAATTGATTTTTACCCATTTTTTCATTACTTATTATCTTTTGAAAAAAAAGATCAATATGTTTAAATGATTCTCGTACCACGGATACCATACTCTGAGGAACATGTGAGGAAATTTCATAGCGATTGCTCAACTTTTGCGACGTTTAGAACTTCCACCAACTCAAAAAACATGGTTTCGAGCAAAACGCATTTGAAAATTTGAACACGCTGACCCACGCGCTCAACACGGGTGGTAAAAACGACCGATAACTTTCGTAATTTAAGAAACATATCCAGAAATGCATATTATATTATATATTATTTTTTACTTGAAAAGTTACCAAAGCTACCTAAATTCAACTGGCAATGTCTTTCCATTTATTTTTTTCTTTAAAATTCCCTTAAAATTACTAATTTCTATCTTGCAAATCGATATTTTTGTCGAAATCTTACAAAGTTTCATATAAGAGTGCCTTTTTTTAATTTTTTATATAAATTAGGCAAAAAAGGACAAGATTTAGTCTTTGTAATAGTTATATTTTTTCTATGTTTTATTATTCGGAATTTCAGATTCAAACACTGCAAAAAATTATTTATTTTCGTTTTAATGTTTTTTCTTTTTTCATATAGAGTGAAAAAGTGTAAATATTGAGAAAATGTAATTAATTTCTGTTTGGAAGAATACAATTTGGAAATAAGCGGCGTTATGGTCCATGGATTACTTTGCCATTTTCCAACATTTTGATTTATTTTTTATTTTGTAAGTTGAATGAAAGTTACTAAAAATATACATAATTATTTGAATGTCTAAATGGATTCGTTAAAAAAAAAATAGCTTAGGGGGGTTTTAATTGTAAGGGGGTTACCTTACAATGCTATCTACCGATAGAACTACTACCGTCGAGAACTTTAAAGTGGCGGCTTCTTTTAAAATTTCTTCAACGAAACTTGAAGATGATCTATGTGAACACTATTTTTTGAATCAATTTAATTCAACTTTCCAAAAACGTTTTTTGGCCAGAAAAAGAGTGAAAATTTCGGCTGATGCAGAACAGCGGGGAAAAAATATAAAAATTGTTCGAATTGAGTAATGCTTATAGTAACTTATTACTTTTATATGTTCGTATGCTTCAAATTATTTATTAAATATTAAATAAAATATGGTATATTGCAATTTAGGAAACCAACCATAGAAGGCACTCAATTATATTCTACTGTTCATTTTAATTTTTAATGATTAACCATTCTGGTTGTGCTCTATTGTATTTTGTTATTAACAATATATTAAAAAATAATAAACATTGCAATTTAAATTAAAGTTCCATCATGTTCACTTAATTTAGTAAGGCTGACATAAATTAAAACTAAAAAAATGGTAAAAAAAATTTTTTTTTTCGATTCTTTCAATAACAAAATTATTTTCAAATTTTGCAATTTTCCCGCTCAATATCTGTAGATTCAAATTTTAAAAATTTAACGGTTTTTTTCGACATGGACATTTTTGTTTCACTTTGAACATTTTCAAATTAGATTTTGATCCACTTGGAACACTTTCAAATTAGATTTTGTTCGAAACGGAATTTGTTCAAAACTTTCAAGCTATTATCAATTTCACGTTTTCAAACTTCGCGCTGCAAAAGCACTTTTTTCCTTTGGAAAGTTGGAATCTTGAAAATTGGAGTTTAAAATAGTGCTGAAAAAAAGACACCTCGGTTTTTTTGGTCACAATTCAAATTTGCCCGCTCAAGTTCTGTGAAAAATTAACAGAAATTAAGTTAAAATTAACTAGAAAGCTCTTTTTTCCCAGCGACCAGAGCTTTTTAGCGATCTTCCATTTATTTAATGGAGTTTAATAAAAAAAAAAACCTCGATTGCTATTTTGTGGTCAAAATTCAAATTTGCCCGCTCAACCCGCTGAAATTCTGTTAAATTTTTAATTCAACATCCTGGAAATTTTTCAACACTTTCAAGCTTTTTCAATTATTTCACGTTTTTCAATTTCGCTGTGCAGAAATAACACTGAGAAAAAAAATGTGTTGCATTACATTTGTATTTTTACGAAGTTGTATTTTTTTTATTATACAGTAAAGTACTGCATTTTTATATTTTTATACGTCAAAAAGTGGAATTTCCGCGAGAAATTTCTCAGCACTGACCACTGTTTTTTTATAGCTATAAAATTTGTATAGCTTGACCGCTAGATGGCGCTTAAGTTCGATTCGAGGAAATTGAAACAAATTTTTAGCGCCATCTGTCTAAAAAATGTTGAAACTTCTTCCTGGGAACAGACTTTTTAGGCGCCATCTGCGGTGCAATATTTTTTTGACGTCAAATTCCACTTTTTTGATTTTATTGTATATATGTATTTTATTTATTTTTTTTAATTATTTTTTTCAAAATCACAAGTTTTTGGCTGTTCATAAAAAAAATCTTTTTCTTCTTTTGAAATTATCGTGGTGAAAAAATGTTTTTAATAACAGTTTCAATAACAGTCAATTTTTTTTTCCACAGAAATTTTCAATTTTACAACACTTTTTAAATTTTTGAAATTTTCCAACTTTGCGGTGCCGAAATAACATTTTTCCTCTGACTGTTATTTCGGCACCGCGAAGTTGGAAAACCTTCAAATTAAAAAAGTGTTGAAAATTGAAAAAAGGCTCTGTTACGTGAAACAATGGAATGTGAAATAGTATCCGCGGCTTAAATTATGTTTGTATTTGGCCACACTGATTGTGGTGCAAAGTTTGGCGCCAGACACCGGATGAGCGATCCCAGTGAGGAGGAGGAGACACTGGTCAAAACATACATATTAAGTTGAGGTTAATTTTAAGATGTATTTATTTACCCAACAGAATAAAACATTTCACGCTCATCCTAGTGTTGATTACGCTCTAAGATCGCTGGTATATTCTTGTTTCGGTGAAGTGCTAAGTGTTAGAGGCATCTCCCAGGATATAGATCGGCGTCAATTATAAAATACATAAAAGATAATACGTAATATAAAACATAAAAACAGAGACTGTAAAAATTAAGTCAGAGTTCGGAGTATACATCAAACGCAGAATTTTGTTTGTAAACCTTTTCAATTGTGAAGTTTTGTTTAAACAAATACCTTGTTATTTAAGAAAGATTTGTAATACAATGTTTGGGAAGCAGGTGAAGTTCTTATTTCACAAAATGGCGGGAAAAGTTCATCCAACTAAAAAAAAAAATAGTTGTTGCAGCATTATCTACAAATAAAATATGGTGGATTTGAAGATTCTATGTTTCCTTTCGTAGGTCCAGGCATAAACCTGATATGTAGGACCTTTTAGAACTTTCAATAGAACTTCCCTAAAGCTAAAGTGTATTGCAACCCATACAGGTTTAACTTAATCGTTATATCGACCGCGAAAGTATCGTAAGTCGCTTTTTTTTCGAAATTGAGATTTTAATTCAAAATTGTTAGGTACCTAATGTCTCACTACCCTGTGAAATATTATAACTGAAAACCGCGCAAAATTATCGTATGTCCATACAAATTTTTTGCATGGGAATACTTCAAACGCACAAAAATAAAGAAATACAATAAAAAATGTTTCTAATCGCTTAAACATCTTATGATTTTGCTTATTGTTTGTAAATTTTTCTCCTGTAAAATTTGATTTTTCAACATACTTTCGCGGAAATACGTCACTTTTTTTTTTTAATTTTTATTTAAATTTAATATTTTTTCTACTATAATTTTATTGTCACATACTCCTTGAACTCCGTTGAGCGACTTGTGACCAGACCAGCAACATATTTTAAGATTAGTGTGCCCATTTACATTATCCTTTACCTTTTACCAAACCTTTTTGAAAATACTAACTTAACTATCGGGATAAGTGTTAAAAAATATGGCAGCCTTGAATATGTATGTGTTTTTCTTGTCCATTGTCCATCCAAAGATTATTCAAGAGTTACTTGTTTAATTTAAGCCCAAAATAATAAAATGTGCTATTCAGCTTCTATTTCTTTGAAGGTATGGCAGCTCTGCTACTTAATTTCCTGGTCTGGCACCTCGCACTGGCACTTGTTGCGCTACAGCTGTTCTTTGCCATTCGTTAGCGCTCGTTTTTCGTGTTTTGCTTCGTTGGGGCTGGATTATTTTCCTTTGGGGCCGTTGGGCCGCATAGTTTGTCTTTCATTCGATTCGTGGCGTCCGGACGCGTCGCTGCCGTTGTAAAGTTGCGTCGGCGGTGCGACATTGTTGTTTACGTGGTGTAAGCGAGTGTAATAGTGTTTGTGTTTGTTCTCAGCGGGAGTTTCGACATACCGCATTGTTTAATTACACCCGCGGCGGCTAATTTCGATGCTAACGCAAAGCAAAGCAGGGTGTGAATAAAATTATGCTAAAATAGATAGTCAAAGGTAAAAAGCGTCATAACAGGAAGACGGAGAGTAGTTGTTCTGTTGCGCCGACGCGACCGCGCTGCAGCTGTATGTTGTGTGCGAGAGTGTTGGTGAAGTGGTCTGTCTGGTTTTTTTTTCTTTTTTGGGCAGTGGTGTTGTGTGTTTGCGAAGCAACAATTTAATTGCTATCCAATTTTAAAAGCAGTTCAATTGCAAACAATTACAAATATGCAATTTGCCTCGATTGCATTTGCATTGGGTGCGTAATTAAATTTTTTAGCCGCAAACAAACACAAGCACGCTTGCGCTCCCCCTCTCGCTCGCACCCGCACACAACTGTTGCTGGTGTAATGGCGTAATCGTAATCTTTGTGCCCTCTCTTTAATGATTTAATTAAAACCGTAAATTGGAAGCCGAAATTCAATTTGTCCGTTTGACTTTTTAGTCCGTGTGGGTGGCTTTTCGCTGACATTGAATATGTGCCGCAGTTTGTTGCCGCAGTTTGTTTTTGTGTTTTTTATTGCTGCACTCGGAACACACATGCAGGCACACAATTACAAAGTAATTAAGTACGTGCGTCGCGTGTCGTTTTGGATTTTCTTTGGCTTTGGGCGGAAAATGTTCTGATCTGGCCGTGCGTCCGCATTTTCGCACTGGCCCCAACCTCAAATCGGGCCGCGAATAAAAGTGTAAAACCAAACCGGTTGACCGTGATAATCGTGTGTACGGGCTGGCAGATTTTGATTTGCGTGCATAAATTCAGATACAGCACACAGCAGCCGAATTACTGTGAATGATTGAATTGCTGAAATAGTTGCGGTCGGGTCTGTGTGTGTGTGTGCCACTCTTTGGTTCGTTTGCATGTGTGTGTGTTTGCCCTTCGTCAATGAATAACGGCAGTTTTCGAGGTGCCAAGTCGGAGAAGAGCAAACAACAACAACTACAAATTGCCTCACCTTTGTCAGCAGCGAAGCAACAGGGTAAAAAGTGAACAAAAACAGCGAAGCCGGCATTGGAGGAGCCGAAAATAAGTAGAGAAACAAACCAATAAAAACAAAACGCAGCTGCGGAGTCAGCAGAGCCACATTCCAGCCATCGGCCGTCAGATCACCCGGCGGAGCAGCCTCCAACCGCGGGTCACCGAGATTCTTACTTCACCCCCAAAGACCCAGCAGCAGCAGTAGCAGCAGCACCGAAAAAAGGTGAGTCCAAGTATACCATCTACAGTGAAACAAGGCTAAGACCTACACCTGTTGAAGGCTTCTGGAGGCCACACACACCTGCAGGTCCAGGCCATAATTGAGAAAGATTTGAAGGGGATTACCGCTCTTCTTAGTTGATTTTTCCCCTGGAACACGAGCAGTGTAATCCACTGTAAGCGGGTGGGATGCGTGAGTACATCAGCGTCAATTTTCCGCTGCTGTTCTTTGGCTGCTCCTCCTTTCTCTGCCGGCGTTGCTGGCGTTGTGGCGTTTCTGGTGTTGTTGGGGGCCACGCCTTCCGCTGCCAAGCGGGCCATGTGAAAACATTTTTGCGTAGAAATTACATATTGTTTCGTTTTCACATCCCAGGCTACCCGACCAAGCCACCCGTCTGCCGATGCCCCCAACCAGCCAGCTGGCAAGTACCTTGGTTACATGGCTGCTAAGCCCTTCCCCCTTTTCCGGGCCTCTCGCATTTTTATGGGTCGTCATCCATCGTTGTTCTGCCAAGTCCCCCACTCGAGCCCCCGCTCCGCACTAGCAGGGCATCGCTTTCTGCTCATCAAAGCACGAAAATATCCAAAGGCGGCTGCCTCAATTATGTTAATTATGAATTGCTCCGCCCCTCCGCCGTCCGCCCGTCTGCCCGACGTCGCTATCTCTTCCAGTACGCGTTTTTGTACGGAAACCTGAGGGCCCGGGCTACATGGCGGATGGAGTCGGGAGAGCCAGTCAAGCGGGAAAGTGGGCTTTTGGGTTAGCACCTGGCGAGGTCGTCGCCGTAACCCAAATTCAAGCGTTTTTCGCAACTTGATTTGAGCCATTGCCAAAAGTTGACTCCTCTCCGAGCACCTGGCGATCTCCCAATGGACCGTAAACCCAATTAAGAGCGCCGATCCCGCGGCAATGAACTTCACCCACCTCCCGACGGCTCCCAGAAGAGCTGGCCCGTTAATTACCTAATGAGTTGTTTGATCCATTCAGTTTCAGTCGCGAAATCAATGGTGGTTGTGGACATTTAATGATGCGTTGATTGGAAGGCGAGCTTAAGTGATAAAAATTAACAGCGCTAATATTTGCCAATCTAATTATGAATATTGGAAGCCAGGGATAGTGCTTTGCACAAACGATAATGAATAGGAACCTTTAATAATGCTATCAGACCATAATACAACAATTAAATTCTGCCACTTTGGCCGAGAGTGGATTGTTCCACTCGCCCGCATTTAGCCCCATTGTCCCCTGTTTCCAAATGAAATTTATCGCGGACTCCAACACAACAATAGACCAAAACAGCTGCCGGGCCGTAATACTCTCCGGCTAGCTTCAATTTTATCCGCCACTGGAGAATTTCGTAATTTTCAAATCACAATATTAATGCAGGGCCCAACAATGGGAAAAATGTTGTTGCAACGTGGTGGGGGCAGGGGCGAAAGGAGGTGGAAAAGCTGGAAAGAGCTGGGTGACAGCGACGGCGACGGCGACGGCGGCAGCTTTTTTGGGAAACCTTTTAACAATGGAAAACTTGCCCAAGCCGTCATGAACTGCGTCCCAAGTGCTGCTGCTGTTTCTGTTGTTGCTTTCGTTGTTGGCATCGCAAGCCGGAAGATATTTCAGACAGGCTTGCAACCGGGCGGCCACCAGAGGGCGGAGGGGTGCGGCCGGAACCCGGGCCGAGCTGCTGGGTGCTGGTTCCATGGGCTCCATGTTTAGACAGAAACAAGTTTTATGCTTTGGCAATGATGACGCTAAAGCACTGACTCCGAAGCTCTGACCAGTCCATCGGCTTCTGTGGCCAATGCTGCTTTGTTGTTGTTCTTGGCCTACGCCATACAGTGTTACCCACTCGTTCCCGTTCCCTATCCCCATTCCCATTCCCACTCCCCCCGATTCCGAATTGGAGCCCAAAACCAGACCCAGTCCGCTCCCGGGCGCATTTAGTTCACAGGCGAGTGGCGAGTGGTAAGGAGGTGGTGGTGCTGCTGTGGTGCAGCCGCGTTGTGTAGTTTTGAACTAGTTGTGGCGTATCAAATCAAGCCGAACAATTGTCGGCCTAGAGATGGGAGCGTGAGGGCGAGGCCACCCGAAGGGGGAGGTCTACTAGGAAGCTCTGCATTTCAATTATCAATCTAATAGGCTTTTTATAATATTGGAACATCAGATCAGTTCAGTAGACATCAGACTAGTACCGTAGTATCGTAGCCCACCCCTAGTTCCTATCACTTTCTAGTCCTCCCACCTCGTGCATAGTTCACCACTGTTCGCAATTTGGAAATTAACTGATTTGGTTGTTTTTGGGCCTGACCGGGGAATCCTGTCTGGGCCACAGCGCTCGCCAGCCATTTGTATTGTTCGACGGCGTCGAGACGGACGGCTCTGTATGTAAAGGATGAAACGAGCTTAAAGTTTTCCTGGGCTAACTTTCAGTTGGTTCTTTTGCGCGTTGGGGTTTTCGACCGTCTGGGATTGCCCCCAAAAAACTTTTAGCAGCCAAGTGGGCGGCTGCGCTTAGAAAGGGGTGTGTCGCTGGAGCGGGCCAGTGGCTAGTGGAAGTCGGCCATTCAGCCGCGACAGGAAGACAGCTCAGGAAGGAAGTTCATTTTGTGCAACTTAACGCTTTTCCCTCTCTATTTCGGAATGGAAGCGTGTCTGGGCTTCCCGCCCCATTCGCCCAGATCCTGTTTTGTTTTAGTTGCAGAATGGTCTGGGAGAGATCAGATATGCCACTTGATGAGTAGCTTGGAGCAGCAAAGAATGAGAGCCTAGATTATACTCGTAGGTATAGCAAGAAAGCCAAGATCTAGATTAAAATAGTACAACGATAGGCTTTTTAGGCCTTTCAGTTGTATTAACTAGTACTTGCATAGTTATAATAGATAGAAGAACTAGTGATATATGTGGTAGATACTCTATAAATATTGTGCCCTTGTGCAGTGTCTGGCTCAGCGCCATTTGTGCCATTTTTGGAATTTCTTATCCGGATTTATGATCCACCACACCTTGGAGGACATAAATCAAGCCGTAAACTAGAGTCCGCTGCTGGAACATATGCGACTATGATGGACCACGCCGCAGCGAGTGGTTCCAATTTCTGGCCACTAATCTGCGTCCCTGCCCGCCTCTCTCTCCCCATCTCCTAGCGGGTTAATCGCCGGCATTGGATGAGGAAAGGCAAATTGCCCGGTTCGGCGTCAGGAACACACCCAGGCACACACCCATCGCACTCTCGCGTCCCACATCCCAGCTCTCGTGCTAAATTTTTAATCAAGCTCTCCAGCAGCTGTGATTTCGCTGGTGGCAGCCATTTTGGAGCGGAGTGGAGACCCTCCTCCCCCACTAACCTTTCCCACCCACAAAGTGCTCGTCCTTCGAAAGCGCAAAAAATGCAATCAACGTCAAATGCGCTTCGAAACTTTGTGCAAAATAATAGAAAAGCCATTAATTTCACTTCTCGTCGAAGATGTTGCCCAAAAGGGGCGAACAAGCTGGGAAACGGGGGCCCGGGCGTGGCTCGGACATATGGCGACAAACGGGAACAGGAAACAGACAGGAGCAGAGGGAGACGAAAGTAATTTTTAATTATGCGCATAACGTGACGTCAAACTTTGATTGGAATTACACGAAACTCGATTAATCGCCCCGTGCATCCGCTCGTACGGGCTCTTGGGGGAAACTTTTTCCTATTCCAGAAGTCGCAACGACTGCCGCCCGCAAACGACGCAAAGTTCCCGGCTTAAACAATTTTCATTAGCAACAACAAAGCCGCTAATTTCACTTACAATTAGCGGTGCCCCAACATGTCGCATCAGTCGGTCGAGTGGCTGGGGGCGGGAGAGCTTCCCGCCATCCAGCGACCAGGCAAGTTTTCAACTAAAATGGCCAAAAACTACAAAAACCCATTCCCATAGTAGTTTTATGAAATTATGGAAGGGATACACCGAGGGTTTGAGGGCTTTTAAAAGCCGGATAGACTCTTCCTTAAATACATAATGCCTTATAGGATATTCAATATTCAGAACCCTTTTCGACATCTTTCGATTAAAATTTCTTATAGTTCAAAAACTCCGAAATAATGCTTCTGAAATAATTTCAAAACGTTCAATTAACGTTCAAAACGTTAATTTCAGAAACCTTAGAGTAGCATTTCCAACTGTCCCCCTAAAAAAACGGGGTTATTTATATTTGTTTATTGTTTTAAATTGTTACTTTATTTCCCATATCTTTTATAATCACCATTTCCTATTGAATCTATACTCTTGTACAGAGAGTACTAAACTGTTTCAAAGTAACTTGACACTATAAAAGCTGTAATATACCACAGCTTAAAGAAAGAGTATTTGAAGGCAGGTGCTGGCAATACCCCCGCTTGGAAATTTGTTAAACATTTTAGGCGACAATGGTCAGTGCCCTTGGAGGGGGAAAATCAGTCAGTAAACAAAGGGAAGACCCGCCGGTGTTGGCCAAAGTTGGGCCAACAGAAGAGTAGTTATGTAATACAAAGTTTAGTCAAGGGTCAGCGGTAATGCAATAAGCAACTTTTTCAAACTGCTGCTCCGCCTCGGACTCCATTAAAGTTGTCAAATTAAGTCGAAGTTTGATTGCCGGCGGCGCAGGACTGACCTGCTCCCAGTTCCGCCCGGCCCTCGTCCCCAACTTTTTCTTGTGTTGACACGGACTTGCTGCTGCCCGGAGATTAGTGGAGCGTCCTGTGATGTTTTCCTGTTAAACGCCAGGCCAGCAGGGACGAGTATTTATAATTGCCGGCCTCGGGGCACAGACTTGTGCGAATCCTGTCGATGAGCTGCTTGCTGCTCGAGGCTGATGGACTAGATGTTGGCTTACTTTCCTTTAAAAGAACATGAACAGGATAAAATAATAAGTTATTGGCAAATATTGAAATTTCCATGTAAAATAATTGGCTTAGTCTAAGACTAATGGTTTAAAGCTGTTCAAGGTTTGATGAGGCCTTCGATTAAAGAGCTCTAATTGTTTTAGAA